AACAACCTCCCAAAGTGCTGGGAATTACCAGAGGCGATGAGTCACCAAGCCTGGGCAAGCCCAAGAAGTGTCAGAGGACTCGCCTGAGCTAAGCCTGTGTGAAACCTCATCGCGTAATCAAAATGCAAAAGTAGCTGGAGCACTAGGTGGTGCAACCGTAAAGTCCCAACTTTCTTGGGAGGCTAAGGCAGGAGGAATTGTCTTGAGCCTGGGGAGAGGTGGAGTGTGCAAGCAGCAAGATCAATGCATTGCCACTCCAGCCTGGGCAAACGAGCAAGACTGTTCAAAAAAAAAAAGAAGAAAAGAAAAAATCAAAAATTTGGTGGGAACACAGCTCGAGTGATGCTTAAAAGGGCAAAGCGCATACAGGCTGGGCACCGCCGTGGCTCATGACCTGTGTAATCCCAGCACTTTGGGAGGCCGAGTCGGCGTATCATGAGGTCAGGAGATGGAGACCATCCTGGCCTAACACGGCTGAGAACCCATCTCTACTAAAAGTACAAAAAAATTGGCCAGGCGTCTGCCTGCGCTATTTTTGCTTTTTTCAGTAGAGCACGACGGTTTCACCATGGTTGGCCATGGCGAGTGGCGTCTGTAGTTCACAGCTACTATGCGGAGGGCTGATGAGCCACCGCGCCCGGCCTGAGATGGGATTTCACCATGTTGGCCTGGCTGGTCTTGGACTCCTGACCTCAGGTGATCCACCTGCCTCGGCCTCCCAAAGTGCCAGGATTACGGGTGTGAACCACCATGTCTGGCCTACTCTTACTTTTCTACACTTTACCCAATGACCTGCTAGAGCCGTAGTAACCTTTCAGGAAAACAATCTACATGATTTTTGAGACAAATAGCCCAGTGACAAATTTATAATTAATTACTCAGATCAGCAGAGAGCTCCAATTGTAGACAATTTCTAGCCTTCACAGAATTTTAACATTTTGTTCTTTTATCAAAGATCAACATCAGAAAATGAACGTAAAGAATATAAACAGTTCCTCATCTCTTGCAGAAATACAAGACTATTTCATTACACTGTACAATGCCCCTTATGTAATGTCCCCAGACAATCCATGCCTAATTTAGTTCTAGAGGAAAAAACATACCATCCTAATGGTTCCTTTTATTAATGTAATGAACATGACATGGATGAGAAACAAAGGAAAAAGCCCATGATTGGGTAAAGATCTCACTATCAATTGAGAATGCATTATGGCAACATAGTGTGATGACACTCAAATGTGCTTAAACCCAGAAAACTTATATAAGTTTCTCAAGCAAAAAAACTAAAAAACAGAGACAGCTCATCCTCTGGGGCATATAATAGCTGTAACTGACATCACTATTGTTATTAGTGCCACTGGTTGTCCCAGAGTTAAGGGGGCCTAGGAAAGCAGTGGATCAGAAAATGAGAACTGTGTAAACTCAAGATTTCTTCTCTTTAAGCTTTCCTAGGAAATTCTGAAATACATTTTGTGTTCAAAAAGCTACCCTTGGCCAGGCATAATGGCTCACGCCTATAATTCCAGCACTTGGTGGGAGGCCGAGGCAGGTGAATCACCAGAGGTCAAGAGTTCGAAACCAGGCTGACCAACATGGTGAAACTCCCTCTACGAAAAATACAAAAATTAGCTGGGCATGGCAGTGTGCGCCTGTAATCCCAGCTACTAGGGAGGCTGAGGTAGGAGAATCACTTGAATTTAGGAGGCAGAGGTTGCAGTGAGCCAAGATCACACCACTGCACTCCAGCCTGGGCAACAGAGCAAGACTCCATCTCAAAACAAAAAAAGCTACCCTTAACCAAGGTACTCTGGTGGTAAATTCTATCAAATGTTAAAGACAAAATAATACTAATCTTCAACAAATTACTTCAGAAAATAGAAGAGGGAGCACTTTCCAGCTCAATTTCTGTGACCAGTATAAGCCTCATATCAAAATAGGACAGACTTTGTAAAGGAAAATTACAAATCAGTATCCCTAAAGAACAAAGTGGCAAAAATATTCTCAAGAAAATGTAGCAAAATAGAGCAACACAGAAAAATACACTACGACCAAATGGAGCTTATACAGGAATATAACATTAGTCCAATATGTGAAAATCAATGTAATGTAATTCAGTAGCTTCAAATACAGTCTATTCTCATTTTTGAGATGGAGTCTTACTCCCATTGCGCAGACTGGAGTGCAGTGGCGCAATCTCGGCTCACAGCAACCTCCACCTCCAGGGTTCAGGCGATTCTCCTTCCTCAGCCTCCTGAGTAGCTGGGATCACAGGTATGCGCCACCATGCCGGGCTAATTTTTGTATTTTTAGTAGAGATGGGATTTCTTTTTTTTTT